CTCAACAGCATCCGACTCATACTCCTCCGACTCGTCGTCAATCTCGTCTGAAGGCTCAAACGATGAAGTATGATGATCAATACCGGGACCAGCTCCACTACCACCCATACTAGGCATCCGAAAATCAAACTCAGGGAAACCGTCTGCCCTATATCTCATCGGTGTCACCTGTGGCCGTGGCTGTGGCTGAGGCTGTGGCTGAGGCTCATCTCTATCATTTGGGTCCTTATTTCTCGCACTAGCGCTAATGTTACGCCCAAGGAATCTTTTCAATCTCTTTCCTGGTCCTCCAGAACTACGTGATCCTCCAGAATTACCAGATGACGCCATCTCTAAACATAGACAATAATTTTCTATTAATATCTTATTGAAAATTATTTGTTGAGCAATTACTTGTTGTTCATAGAGTAATTATGATACATACAATTTGTTATCTACTTAATATTTCGTTTGATGTTATCTACTTAATTTAATTAATCTATTATAATAAATTATTAGATTAGCAATTCTTCATAATCATAATTTATCAATTACTAATTATGATACATACAACTTGGTTATCTAATTAATTTATCAATTACTAATTAATTTAACTAGATAGTTATTCAAATAATTATTTCAACTTACCCAACTAACACATTATATAATTAATTAACAATTATAATTATTTCAACTTACCCAATTAATAAACTAACGCATTATATAATTAATTAACAATTATAATTATATACAAATTAATCAACTATCAATATTAAATTAATTAATATACTAACAATTGTATTTAAAATAAATCTAATAAATATTTCTTTAAACCAACCATTCAAACCGAATCAGAAACCCAATCAACCGGCCCGATCAGACGGGTCCGACCAGACCGGGCGGACGGGGTCCGACCAGACCGGGCGGACGGGGTACGACCAGACCGGGCGGACGGGGTCCGCTCCGACCTGGCGGACGGGGTCCGCTCCGACCGGGCGGACGGGGTCCGCTCCGACCTGGCGGACGGGGTCCGCTCCGACCGGGCGGACGGGGTCCGCTCCGACCGGGCGGACGGGGTCCGCTCCGACCAGGCGGACGGGGTCCGCTCCGACCAGGCGGACGGGGCCGAGACAGTATTAAAAAAAAAAAAAATTACCTCGACGCCGACGACTGGAACAGCGGCGGCTTCAGCTTCTCCTCGGCGGCGACTCCTGGGCGGCGACTGCGAGCAGAGGGGGAAGGCGGCGCCGGCGAGCTTCTGAGGAGAAGTGGAAGGCGGCGCCGGCGGCTTGAGGAGGGGGCAGGCGGCGCCGACGAGCTTCTGAGGAGAAGTCTCGGATGGGGGAAGGCTCTGCAGGTGGAGTGGGGGTGGGGGTGCAGCGGCAGAGGGGTGGGGTGGGGTGGGGGTGGGGGTGGGTGGGATAGATAGGGTTAGGGGTAGGGGCAAATTCGTCTTTTCTGTCCTAACTATGGGCGGCAAATAGTAAAACGACGGGCGGCAAATAGCGATTCAGAAATTTTATTGCATTTACAATTGTTTGCCAGAAATGAAAGTTAGTTAACTAATGCAGTTCGGTTATACAGCCTACAGTTTGCCTTTTCGCATTGGTTCTGACCCGGTTTACTTTGGTCCAACAACAACCACACCGAAGGTTCCAAAACCAGACCGACATTCTTTGTTGAGTTGGCACACTGGTCAATATCTTTCTAGCGTGGCAATTGGTGAGTAGGTAGCAACAAACTTCTTATCCACCGCAGCAAAAGAGAAGAAAAAGAGGGAGGTGGTAAGAAGAAGAAGAAGAAAGAAAAAAAAGGGTATCTTCAACGGGTAAACAAGCTTGCACCAAAACCTTATTAGGTTGCGTTTGGATACAAGGATTTGGGTTTGGTATTTGTGATTTGGATTTTCAAATACCAAATCATGTGTTTGGATATTAATTACATTTGGTATTTGGATTTGTGTCAAATTCATGGGGTGATTTCCAAATACATGTCTAGTGTATTTTTTGTCAACTCCAAATACATTTCAACAACTAGTGATTTGAAATACCTCCTAAGTCCTAACAAATGAATGGACCTATTTGTAAAATATGAAAAGTTTAGGTACTATAGTGTGAGGCAAAACATATAAAGGTACCAAAATGTAATTTTACCATCAAAATTTTAGGACCTTTTTGTAAAATTTTAAAAGTTTAGGTACTAAATTGTAAGAAAAAATAATTTTGGGTACCAAACTGTAATTTACCAAAATTTGTAGTAAGTGACCAGAAAATTAAAAATTGAATTTGAAAATCATAAATACAAAACTACAAACAAATTACAAATGAGTATCCAAACAATGAATTTGAATTACATGTATTTCAAATGCTAATACTTCAAATACATCCATTTCAAATGCTAGTATTTCAAATACCTTACATTTAAAATACACTTATCCAAACGGACCCTTAGTGAATTTCCCAATTCCTAAATTAAAAAATACATACCGTGTCGTGGTTCAAAATTTGACTTTCCAACTAATCCATGATTCGAAATTGGACTATCATGTTGTATATGGATACCCAAGCAAAGAAAACAAGTGATTTGTAGGTTGCTCGCATCGCCAGTATACAACAACCATCTAACCGTTGATTTGACTGTCGGGAATGCGTAAGCACGTGCTTGAATCCACCGATTTAACATCTAAGTTCAAGAACAATGATCAGGTTCAATTTTGACACACAAACCTTACAAACAATGAACTGTTGATGTACTTACCTGCACCCATCCAATTACCAACACAAACGTTTTTACTCGCCAAAATTAGTACATACATCACCATAATAATAATAATCTAACAACTGAAAACGTATCCGTACTCGGTACACAATCCAACCACGTCAGCCCGTACCTACGATCCACCTCGTTAGCACAATTGCCCTCTACACCGCGGCAGCCTCATTTTGACTATGAGAGGTGTGTAGGGTTAGTTAGACGGCAGGACTCTGCCGACGATTCCGCGGAATCATTTTTTGTGGACCATCTTTCTCTGTACAAGAATCCAAAAGCTATGGCGAGGTCCCAGCAAGAGACTGTGATTAACAGTGCCCATTTTGTTCTTTTGCTGCAAAAACTAAACAAATTAGGGGGCAACAGACAGAGACCCTTTTGGACTTTCTGTGGGACTGGAACCGACAGGGGAAGTTTGATTTTCGATTGTAGAATGTGTTAATTCTGTTCTGGGTTATTGGGAGAAAGAATTCCACATTCGATTAATCTAATACAAAAACAGCAATTCCCAAATTCCTAGAAAGGAGAGTTTCTGTTCTGGACTGGTTCACTTCTGCTGCAGATCTCTTTGGGGGAGGAAAAAGAGAGGATCTTTTGACTCCAATTTGATAAGGGCAGGTACGAGAAATTGGGATTTCATACCATGGCTTTTATACCAAGGGAAGAGTATCAATGTCAAATTCTGTCCTAGAGGTGGACAATTATGTTAGGGGTAACTCTTGATGTATTATCATTTGAATGTTTGATGTTATTCAATATGTTCATGGTAGACCAACAAACTATTTTACGATTAATTTTCTGATACAAAATCGATAACAAATCGTTTATTTTCGTCATATAGGCATCACATCGAGCATTTCGATATGAAGGTACGCATTTGAACGTGAAAGTATTAGTAGGTACCCAAGCAAAACTATGTAGAAGAAGTGCAACTATACACGCCAATCAGACTTTCATCGACATTCTAGAAACTAAAGTTCAATCGGGTAATGCTTGGATAATATTTATTGCACACTTCTCTTCTTTGAGCACATCTTGTCACGAACAAAAAAAATTACGACATTTGACCTTTGTTTATGGTTCGATTTTTTTGTTCTTGTGTACTGACAGGACATCCACCATCGACAACAGTGACTACCCCTTCGTTACGGATGATCGCGAGAAGCAGTAAATGGTTGGCCACATAGTGAGGTTTATTCCCATACCACACCTTTTTGGTTATGATTCGAGCTTAAAAAAAGTTCAGAAGATGAAGATTGTATGGGACTTGTGCTGCAAGACTTCCAATGGTGTGATCGGCTGTTCTTCTCTGTTCTGAACAACCACTCATTGCTTATGATCCAGGCCATAAGCTTTAGAGTCTGACCAGCCTTTCCTCTCTTTTTTTTCCCCATCAATGATGAGAGTATGCTAATTGTCAATCATGTCTGTAACTAAAACACACCATAAGTTCAACGAGAAAGGAAGCAATCCCTCTTCTTCATCTCGAGGACAGCACCAACGACCAGGTAAAACTAATCAAATGGGTAAAAAAGCTGCCGAGAGCAATCATACTAACAAGTGGCTCAATTAGCAGAGCTAACTTCTCTGTTTTGCTAGCAGTAATATGCTGCTGCCCATCCACTGAAAAAGACCCTCCACTATTCAAGGAGATCAGCACGTTCTTGTGCTACTCATAACTGTAAAAAAGGGGCACTTGATGACAGAGGGACACACATAAAGGAGTGAAGGACCCATCTGCACCAAAGGAAAAAGGAAAGGGAAAATATTCGTGAGCAGCAAAGAAAAGTGGCAAAAGGTAAAGGGAGACGAAGAACAATCTTCAGCTTCGTTTCTGGTTTTTGTTCTGAGATGCTTTGTTTTTGGGCTGGGAATTCGGTTTCAGTTTTGCTCAAATTAATCATAAAAACGCATAGCTCAAATTAATCATAAAATCTTGTTCAAGTTGGAATGTAATCTTCATTTCACCTGTGATTTTAGCGTAAACTAAACCCGAGTTGTAATAAATTAATATATGAAACCAAAATTCACCTAATCCGCACAGTACTCCACACAATGCCCGGCCTCATTTACGAGGATCAAATTAATTTCGACTCATGTAAACAAACTGACAAAACCCGAACTAATTCAGATTCGAGAACCGTAATGCATACTCAGGACCGACACAATTCTTAATTTTGAAAGGGGGGTTTTGGTTAACTGAAACCCACAAATTTCAGTTTCGGTTGGATACTATCATCCATGAAATTAATAGGCACGTCATAGGATATTTCAATTCCAATCCACAAACAGTAAGACAGTGTGACTTATTGAACAAGAATGAGAATGAACATGAGTTAATCAGTAAAGACAGTGATTAAGAATATTTACACCAAGGAAGATCCAAAAATTCGCATAAGTTTTTTTCCCTCATTACCATCGATCATACTTTCCACTAGGGCTGGGCATGCGGGCGGATCATCCGCGGGTTTGGGCCGACCCACCCGCATTTGACCCGAATTTTGTTAAGTGGGTGGGTCTGTGGGTGGGTGACGGGTTGCGCTCGGAGCCATCCGCCGGGTGGTGGGTGGGTTGTGGGTGAGTGTGCGGGTGACCCGCTCAACCCAACAGTAAAAAAATCAAAGTCGTTGGCGCTAGAGAGAGGAGACGTTAGATCTAAACTCGGACTGCTCCTGGAGTTTGAACCTCAAAGCCAACCTTCCAAATAGAGATCCCCTCTTCTTCCCTTTACTTTTTTCCTCTAATTCTTGTGCCTAGATCACCGCTCTTTCCTTTGTGGAATTATTTTCCTTAGTTCCTTGCACCTAATAATCGTCTCAATCTGTAGAAAACTCTTTCATAATAAAATTTTTGTCCAATTTAATAACTAATTCGACATTTTTCGCCCTATTTCAACTTCTGGTTTCCCTCGATGATTCTCTTCACCTATTATCATGTCAAGTTGACTCCTTTATATTATATGCATTGTGATGTGGGTGAACCCACAAACCCACCCGCATCATCCACCATCCGCCCGACCCAACCCGAGACTAAATGTGGGTGGGTGGTGGGTTAAAAATTATCAATCCGTTTAAGCGCGGGTGGGTGCATTTTATGGTCAAAATCCACCCGACCCACCCAATGCCCACCCCTACTTTCCACAACAAAGATGGAGAATAAATGAACAGATTGCCGTGGTAGTCAGGTACATAGGGCATTCATAAGGTTCATATGCCACACAACCACTCCACCTGATAATGCAACAATTGTAAGGTCTTTGTAAAAAAGGCAGCAGAGCCCTTGCATTCATCACAACCCACTGACAGAATGATACATTTCACAAACCATAATAACTATGTATATCTTGAGCTGTTTTTTTTACTGACTAGGGGACCAGTTTTCGTCTACCTATCACTCATCATCATATCTCTTACAAGCCTGCAACTCAGACATTTAGAATTTATGTATCAAGGTTGGATCTGGATGAGAAAGCACCAAACCTCTCACCTCATTGATGGGGTGAAAAACACTTTGCCCTCCTCAGGTGAGAACCGAGCAAGTTGCCTGGAACATGCACAAAACAGCATACACTGACATAAGATAAGAGCTTAAATGAGGAAAGAACATGGAGATTCGGACAGATAAGTAATGTAGAAACCCTCCTTCCACTATTGCCGCCTACACACATTCTGATGTATCAATATGGCAGGCAAGTATAGATGAGAACTGCCTAATTCATTTCCCAACTAATGGCAAACCAACTCATGTGCACTGCATGATATTCATGTTCTTGAGCACAATGCAGGACTGAAAGAAGCATGAGCTTCTCTGGAATAACGTGATATAATAAGCAGCTTACACTTTGCTCCGCTGGAGGTGCTAATTAACCAAACCTCCTAGTAGAATATACCAACCAACACATCTTTAGTAATAGAAATTGATGGCCAGCAATCGGAAATTGCTCAGATACCAAAAAGATGGTAAATGAGTTTCCTAGCAAACCCATCTTGGGCTTAAAAATATAAACTCACTCGCTTTGGTTACCAGAAAAAGGAGTACTGAACTGTAAAGCTATGCTTCACTGAATTCATGAAAAGATCCATGTCTAAGTATGCCAGCATGCAACCTTTTATTGAAGTAGAAACACACTGGACAGAAGGGGGCATGAGATGAAAAGCATAGATAGTACGCACCTCCTAGTCAACCTTGCTTGAGAAATGGGAAAGTGGCGTTTGTCTGGTACTTTTTGATTGAATTGACAACATTCATAGCAAATGCTTCATCCTCAGGGTAGTACGCAATGGGATCAGATAAAAGTGGTTCTGGAAGGTCGAGCACCCCTTCCAGAGTTGCATGGAGACAATAAGCCGAATAGGTAACGTGATATCCACCTTCTTGAACAATAAGCAGACGCCCACCACAATGTGCATTCGCCAAACCATGAACAATCCTTCCAATCTCTCGATATCCATCCATTGTCAAGCATAGCCTTCCATTGGTGTCAAACTAAAAATCCAAAGCAAATTTGGTTCCAGTTACCGAAAGTTTACACTGCTGAGCAAATTATCCTTATGGCACTGTTGTTATAGGAAAACAGAACAAGAAAATGATGGAAAAATTATATTCACCTATCATAAACAAATTTAAGCAGACTGAAGTAGGTTGAAGGAAAGGAAGAAAAAGAAAGTTTAAAAAGATGGATAATTTGTCTATTCAACTACAGGGTTAATTTCTGAGTTTACAAAGGCAAATTTAAGACTAGAACCTTAAAGCCCCAACAACTGAAGAATCTAGAATTACACACAAAATGATATTCCAGCTTACAGTGGTAGCTCAATTCGAATATCTTATATCACAGTTCCTGGAACATAAGTACCTACACCAACTGATCTAGAAGCGAGTGGGTTGTTCTTGTATGTATCGAACAGCCTATCATTGCAATGATCCAATCCATACCAAAAACAATTAAAACCATCAAGAATAAGCATGAATCAACATTCCAGCAGGCATCAACATTTCCAGTGACCATCAGTTTTCCTGTCTTTCTGACAAATAGTACGATCCAGACAATTTCACCTTCTAACAAGTTTTCACCAGCAATAGGTTGCAAAGACATGGACAAGATAACCCTAAAATAGATTATGCATTCATACCACACATGACACTGATCACCAATATGACTGATCAGTTTGAGAGCTATCTAGCAAATTAAGTTATAAAAAGGACAGAACTTACAGCACTTGAATCTTGGCCAATCACGAAAACCAACAAGTCGGGTTCAAACTGGCTAACGGCAGGAGCAACCAGCTCGGTCATAGCATGCAGATACCCCTTGTCACCGGTTCCATTCGGCAGAGGAATGTTCATGGTATACCCATGTCCCTCCTCATCTCCCACCTCATCAACACATCCACTCTGCGGATGAGACGGCCCCCACGAGCCATGATCCATATGCAATGAAATAGTAAGCACTTCATTAGTCCAGTAGAACCCCTCCGCAGTACCATTTCCATAATGAACATCGATGTCGATAACTGCAACACTTCCAAACCCCGAGTCCAATGCTGTCTGAACAGCGATACCAGCATTGTTAAGGAAACAATATCCATCTGCTTGAGTGGTTTGAGCATGATGCCCCGGCGGCCTAACCAGTGCATACGCCACTTTCCCATTTCCATCGAGAATATGCTTCATCGCTGATAGTGTGGTACCAGCTGCGAGGAGAGCAGCTTCCCACGAGCCAGGGTTTAAGAATGTCCCAGCGCAGATCATCTGCTTACCCCCTTCTTTATCTGCTTTGATCAATTGATTTATATATTCTGTAACAAGACATCAAATTTCCGAAGGTTAGGGCTGTACAAAACCATACCAATCAAGATTCTGCTAAACCCTAAGCAAGAACGTTAAACCCTAAATTAGGAGTGCACCTCTGGTATGGAAGCAGAAGAGTTCCTCCAATTGAGCAGCTCTGCCAAGGTGCCATGAGATGTAAGGAGCGATTGGGCCTCGCTTGAGGATCGAGACCATGTTCTTGATCCTGTCGGCGTTCTCCGGGTGCTTTTCCAAGACGTCGAGGAAGCCTGGGTCGTCGGCGGTGTCAAAGACGCCGGTGCCGGCGTCGTGTTTCAGCATTCCTTCGTGCCAGAATACGTCTATGCGGTTGGACGGAGGAGCTGAGGTAACGTCGTCGGCGGCAGCGGCCATGATGGCGATTGGAAAGGAAGGAAGCAGAGTGTATCGAAAGTTTTGCAGCCAGAAATGTCTGGATAACGGAAATTCGAACTTGATTTCTGGTCAAACGGCAGCAGTCATTGGTCAACTCTCTACTGCAATTTTTACTTCTTCATTACGTGGGCGAGGCTGCAACTTGTCGAGTCGATTCAAGCGGCCCGGCCCAATCGGGGAGTCGGGTCCATTCGAGAAAAGCCTAATTTGATACCTCATGCTCTTTGTCCAATACCAAAATTTCTAATAAATATTCAAACTGTCTCATAAAATAAAATAATATATTTTATCCAAATTATATTCAAATTAGTAATTCGGTGGCAGTAGTTAGTGGATCGTTTGGTAGTTGTGATTGTTAGAGTTGTGTTTATTGAATACATATATTGTGCATAATACAATGTTTGGAAGTGTCAAAGTGTAAAACAATGCATATATTGTTTTAGGTAGGTCCCACCAACAATCACAAAATATGATGCATTATACAATCTCAACTAAAAGTTGAGATTGTTGTGATTGTTGATTTTAGATTTGTGTCCAATTTTTCTTTTCATTTATATCCCTATTAGTTTTTGTCTTATACTAAAAGTTGAGGATAAATGTGACATTTCCCTATAAATTAACTTTATGCAAGTCAATACATAAAGTAGAATCTCAACAACCATACAATGTATTATTAAAATGCATACATTGTACTAATACATGTATTTATTTTGTTGCGATTCATTACAATGCAACGATTTAACATTCGCAACTTCCAAACAACCCCTAAGCAACGAGGGTTCAATGATCTTAGTACATGTTATAACATTCATATTCTTTAATAGTTTTTATGGTTAAAAACTTAAAATAGTGAACTAGTTGCGCCAGGGTGGTTTATCTGATTCCATACCAACATAAAAAAATCATTATGCTCATCCCTGACCATCCAATCAAATGGATCCAATATTTATTGTAGTTGATTTTCAGAGTTCTATTAGTTCAGCTGATTCAGTTCTTATAACAATGTATTTTTTTCCTTACACTTGGAGTTACCTTATTTTAAGAATTAGCTTATTTCTTGGTTTTGATCTTGATTTGAGGCACTTGGAGTTACCCTTGGGAGTTTGTTCTTTTTTATTTATGTTCTTAATTACGCATTTCTTAAATATTTGTTGACGGTTTTGGACTGTGTTGCAATGGATTGACGAGAGATTATTTATTGTCGACGAGAACTTTGGAAGTATGGTTAGACTGTTTAGAGAAAGTGGTATATATATATTCTCAATCTATGTTATATATATCTCAAGTATAGTGAAACTTATCTCTCCTACTCGTGAATTAGCTGCATTATGTTATAAATCATCACGTACATTACATCAGTCAAACTGGTCTCTCCTACTTTGTTTTCTTCCATACTTTGAATATTTTAATGGGTTATTGTAATTGGTGCATCCACTGGATTGAATTTGGATTTAGAGAAATCCAATACGACGCATTCCATCCCATATGATTCTGTGGCTACGTGCTCAAGAATTTCATTTGTTCATCTACTTTATTCGTCACCAAAGAACTCTGAATTTTATGCACAAGATGCAGAGACACACCCATACGCCTTCAAATCAACCAATCATGCCCCACCGCTAGACACCGGGAGAGCCGCCGCAGGCGGCGGACTCGGTTGCTCCGGCGAGACGGCAGAGTCCGCGCTCTTGAAGTGAGCCTTGGAAGACAACTCAACAACGGCATCAGCAATTCTCTCTGTAGTCTCAGCGATCTCCAACAGAACGGCAGCAAGCGCCGCAATTGGCACCAACTCGACCAAACGTTGTCGGTCCCATTTGCTGGTGTCCAGTACCAGCTTGAGATTGTCCGCTGCAGCTCTGGAGCTCGCAACCATGGCGTCCGCAGGCTTTGGCCTCTTCATTTTCCTGGTTGCCAGTGCCAATTCCTTCAGTACTCTGCCACACTCTGTGCTCAGCTCCCTGCATGCCGCCTCGACTCTGCTTCCCATCTCATCAACAGGCTGCATAAAAAATGGCTACAAGGATTTAATCTCTGGCGAGCAAGCTGATTGGAGATGGGTTTGTACTTTGTAGCCATTTAAGAATTAAGATTGTTACTTGAACATGAGGGTTGAGGTAGCTGCTAAGAGCATCAACTTTGTATGCACATTCTCTGGCGAGTGTCCCTATTTTCAGGTACTGTTTCCATGGATGCTGCAGCCTGAAGCGTCCATGTCCTGGCTCCCATCTCGCCAAATTTGCCTACAGGCCAATGTACATGCTGTAACGTACTGGAAAGTCGACAACGCAAAAAAAAAAAAAAAGAATACATAGATTTACGTGGTTCATTATGTGTACTAATTCATGTATACAGGTGACTTCTAATCGTCGAATAATTTGTCTTCAAATCATAGCAAACAGTACACCCATGCAAAACGAAAGAATCTTCCATAATCATCCAACTTACCATGTTTTCTTCATTGCTTTTGGAAGCTAGAACTGATTTGTGATCTTCACCGAGGGTCTTGCCATTGTTGTTGGATTCTGCATCTCCGAATCCTACGAGGAACTCACCAAGGTTTTCAATGTTGGTGACGACGAGATTGTGGAGCTCTTCCCCAATCCAAACAGGGTAAACCACGACGCAGACGATCACCGCGGTGCTGCTGCCGACCAAGATGGTTGATAGCCTCTCGTGCGCCATGGTCCACACTTGGCTGTCTCGGTAGCCCGAAACTGACACGAGGGAGAATGTCAATATGAAAATGTTGAATCCATAGTCGTATCTCGCCTTCACCTTGGGGAAAAACCTGGTGAATGTCACCACCGCAGCTGCATGCATTGTTTTATAACGACATTTGTCATGAATTCGAAAGCATGACCTCTCAATCGATAGCATGTTAAGGAACAAACCACTTAGTCACGTACCTATGATGAAAACGAAGGCAGCGATTAGAATGGGCTCTCCGGTTGGGCGGGAGAGACTCGCCAAGTGATGGGCTCCAATGCCGAACCCACCAGCTACGAATGTCGCCACCATCCTGTTCAATCCTTTCCCAAGCGTCGCCCCTGTTTCCCCAAACGAAACAGAGGAAAACAGAGCAACCCACCAAAAAAAAGACAAAACCGTGTTTCCAGGTTTGAATTTCGAAACGCCAATCGGAAAGTTTTTGAAAAAGGTGTGAACTTTAATTACCAACGGAAAATTCAAAGACGACGACGACGGTGAGAACAGCCCAAATTGCATTGACGCCGAACCCGTCGTAAAGTGGCTTGAAGTAGTAGAAGAGCGACACCATTGTCAGAGCCAGCCCAACTTTGAAAGAGTGAATCACTCTCCTGGGATCTTCCTCCCCGAATTCCTTAACCCGCATTGCAATCGCAGCAGCTCCACTGGGTAAATCGACGATCCAATCGAAACCCCTCTTTCCTGCATGCCCGCCTTCCTCAACTGGAGCTGCCATTTTCTTCTGTTTCTTTCTGTGAACTTCAGCGGGCTTTTGCTCCCAGAAATTGCTTTCCCTTAACGGAGAGAGACAGATATATAGCGGTCAGTGTATTTAAAGAGTACTCTTTTCAACTGCAAAAATTGGAACATTTGGGTACTGACAATTGGAGGTGGTGCAGAGGATTGATGGGAGGCAGGGGAAGAACAGAGGTGGCGTTTAGTTCCGTACGATGGTAGCACAGTAGCGTCTCCCGCTGCCCACCAGGTCAAACGGCGGAGAGATCACACCTGGCTCGCATGCATATATGCATGCAGCACGGCTTTTGGATCTTGCAAGCAATTAATGGAGGATGGAGGAGATTCTGGATCCTCTGCTATGAATGTAAGCAAAGTAGGTGTCTTGGACGGCACTGCACCAACCTCAACTTACTAAGGCAAGGGTGGTCACTATTACACTATACTGACCTTCCACATAGGACAACTAAAGTAGTCAACGCTCTTTGTTAGTTTTCGGTTAAATTCGTGTGTTTCTGTCGTGTATTTTTCGACGTGGCATCATAATGATAGGCAAAAAAAAAAAATTAACCTGGTAGCCATCTTCTCGACCGGTCAAAGATTTAACTCACATGATATTAAAGGCGGCGAGTTGTAATGCTTAATAGGATGCCACATGAACGAGTCAACGACAAAAATAAACGGATTTATGGGGAATTGAGGAAGAATACTAATATTCTCCCTATTACTTGGAGTTCAATGGGGAATTGATATCTAATTACGTCAGACAAGTGTCAAGCGTTTCTTTCGCGTACATAGAAAGTAACAATCACGGCTCGCTATAAAAATAACCAAAATAAGGCTAAGAAGCTTGATACATAGAGGAAGAGGAGTGTTGAAAAATTGATAGTTTGATTAGTACCTCAATTTGTGGCAATCCTAATTCTTGATTGACTCTAATATTCACATATTACTTGGAGCTCAATCATTTTATCCAAACGAGCCATTGGCCTATAACCAAGTTCAAAAAAAAGCCCAAAAAAATAAAGAGGAAAAACATTCAACAGCTGGACTTCGGCTTTCCCTCGTAAGTCGCAAGTAGTAGGAAAGTAGGAGACTCCTTTCTTTCATCACTCAAGTCTCAGTCGCACCGCGCCATAAACCCTTCACCCCGGCCACCGCCGCCGCTTCCCTCCATCAGAGTCCACAGCAGAGGGGATTACTCTGCCGCCTCCACCGTAACCGTCGTCACTCGGCTATCACTCCTTCGCCTTCTCCGCCGCAGTTACAGTTCTCTCTGTTCTCCGGCAAAATCCTCCGGCTGCCTTTGCTCGCTTCTTCCTCCCCCCACCACCTTCTTCTCCTTCGATTAGCGGAAGGAACTTCGCCGGAGGTAGTATCCCTAATCTAGACTCTCCCCCCGCTTCCTTGTCGCTGTAATTATAATTATTTTTTATGCAGAATAACGAAATCCCCCTTTGTTCCGATTTCATCTTCCTTAAATGGTTTGGTTGAGAAGTTTGGGTAGAGAGGGTTTGCATGTCTGGCTTAATTGAATCTTGAATTATCTTCGTTTAAGAAGTAGTACGAGCAAAAGTATGATTCTTTACAGGTTACATTGTGCTGTTCATTGTTTATCCACCAATGGCTGCTACATCGTCTTCCTTATCTTCCTGCTTGTTGAGCGATCA